CAGGTGGTCATCCCCCGAGGGGTCCCAGACTGCGAGAGGGCACAGGCCGGGCTGAGCGACCCCCCACCCCCGAGTGCACAAATTTTTGTGCACCGGGCCTCTAGTATTACTATATTCCTAAAGGAAGGAAAAAGAGAAATCAAAAAAAAATGTTTGTAATGCTTTTGGTTATATCATCAAAAGGTCCTATTCCTATAATGTAAGATGATAGGCATTTTACCCATTTGTTTTTTCTTTTAACGGACTCATAATTTGAAGTGATGTGTATACATACATCTTCTCAGTGAAATTAAAGCTCTATTGGAAGAAGCCATCCTGCATTATTCTTTTCTGATTATCATTTGCCAGAGCAAAAACAGTTGGTTTTTCTTTAACTTAATTGAAAGCTGCCTTTATACAGAAGTGACATTTTCTCCTAACAAACTAGGTAAACCTTGCCTCCACTGCTAAAGTGCAAATTTCTTAAAGGCAGGGAACATTTTTCAGATTTGTTTGAACCTACCATAGTGACTAGCATTGTTGAGAGAGCATAATGACTGTCCAAACATAATAGTTCCTGTTGAATCAATGAAATAGCTTTGAGAATGATAGAAAGATAGAGCACAAAGTGTTTTAAATAACATTTAATCTAAACTCTTTATTTTTTAAAAATGGAAAGAAATTGAATTACAGAGACAGTAAGTATTTTGTTTAATTCTACACCTCACTTATGTCAGATATAGGAAAAATACAGGTCATATGCCCAAATGTTTCATTCACGTTTATTGAGTACGTATCCTTAACTGGGCCTCTTCTTCATGATATAGCTGTATAAAAGTTAAAGAAAGTGGTATGTATTGTCCCTATTGATCTTAATAATTTTATCATTAACATAGATGCCAAAGAGATGCAATATTGCTATATATTTATATCATCTAAATCTTTTCCTAATGGGCCAATATTCTGATGGTGTAACTCAAGGAAAATCTGCAAAGAAATACCCTTTACATTTAGAATTAGGGAAGATAAATATTTTGTGTAAAACATTGTAAAAGATGTAAAGAATGAAAAAAGATGGTTATAAATAAAGTCTGGTACTGATGGCATTTTTTTCCCTTCAGATTCTTCCTTGATTTTACCATCTTGAGTTTTTAAGCCATTGTTCTTGCCTGTTTTCTGCACTGGTGGTTTTCAACTAAGACACTTTTAATAAAAATATCATTGACATTGTCAAAAAAGTAATACACAAGTAACAAGCATTACTAGTCATGAACAGTCCAGTACTATTTACACGGATGGCTTGGAGTGGTAATGGAGCCACATCACTGTAGGCTTTCGGGAATGACTCATGAGCATAGATAGCACCTGAATCCCTCCAGTGTTAGCATTTAGAAGCCATGTGATCTTGGGTAAGCCACTTGCCTCATGGCTTAAAGATACTGAGTTCCAGTATCTTTATTTATAAACAAAAGAAGCCATGTGATCTTGGGTAAGCCACTTGCCTCTTCTGAGTTCCAGTATCTTTATTTGTAAACAAAGGAACTAAAATATTTCATCTCTAAACCCCATCTATATTAAATATTCACAATGATAGTCATTTACATGGATATTAAGTTGGATATTAAGTAGAAACAGTTATGAACTGACTTCAGAGTTTCTACTAAGGACCATTCTTCATAAAAGTCCTGCTTGCACAGTGGCCCAGTAGTAATTATAGGATGAAAAGCTCTGCATTGTCCACCACAAAAATGTAACACTGAGGAAAATGCTTCGAATGATGAGGTCATTGAATGGAATTCTGTTTTTCATATCTTTGTATAAAAGTATACTTTAGAGAGTCTTGGTAGTCATTTTACTTAGTATATTTATGCAATGAGTACATCAAATTTATATACTTTTTAAATTTGGCAGTTTTAGTTTTGAAATTGCCAAGTTTCAGTTAAAAATATAAATGATAAATATAAATCCTAATGTTTTACATATCACACTGGTGAGTAATTAGATGCTTAAAACATGGTTGGATAAGGAACACTCACTGTTTATAAGAGAAAGTTAGAGGTGATATGATTAAAGGCACAGCATACAAATTTGATGTCTCTTTCTTCAGTTTTGAGTTGATTCTTTCTTAAACATGTGAAAAAATAAAAGTGTAACTCTTCAAGATCGGGGACTACAGTGATTTAATTTTCTGTATCACTATTGAGCAGTGTTTCATCCAGTGTTGTAACCCTATGGATGACCAATTAATCATATTGAAAATGTGAGATGCATACATACACACTGATATGTAGACATTGAATCTCACATAGTTGCATTTCACATGCATTGAATTAGTAAGTACATTGTGATTGTCCTTTGTATCTCTTTAGATTTTTATACAATTGATAGTCTAGTTAATTTTTCCATGAGCCAATAGAAATGTTCCTATTCTAAATCTCTCTAAGGCTTCAAGAGATTACATCCCCCAGTAGTCCATTATCCAAATGTATTTTTCATATATGCATTTCAAATAGTCTGGATATATTTCATAAATATAGAAAGAGATCACCTATTTCCAATGACTTACACAGTATCAATATTCCAATTAATGCAGTTATATTTTAGTTACATCAAACAGATGAAATAATAAAATATTTTTAAATATAAGTTAAGTACAAAGGAAAATATTACAGTGAAGATCTCTGTACCTATGACCTAGGTTTTGTTTAATCAGAACTTGAGGAAACATAAATCATTACATGTATAGTTGAAGTCTACTTTGTACCTCTTCCCTTTCCTGATTCTTCCCTTTCTCCTCAAGAGGTAACCACTAGCTTAAACATATTACAAAAATTTATTACACTCTAAGTCAAAGTAAAATTCTACATATATCATATAATCAACCTTCTACAGACCATATTCCTTGCTTAGATTAGAAATAAATAAAAAAGTAAAACCACATATGTGTGTGAAAATAATGCCTACCCTCATATTGATTGCAGAATTCTGTATAAATTAAATGGGTTTTCAAATCTTCTACAACTATATTATTTTTTTCTAGCATTACTGACAGAGGAGCTTAAAATTTCCCACTATGCATGACTTTGGAGTTATATATTATTCTATATAGCTCACTCCATTTGTCTTATATTACAGACTAGATGTTTTTAAATAGTTTGATGATTTTTATTACAAATCAACACTTTTACATCTTAATAATGCTTTTTTCAATAAAATTTATTTTGTCTGATATTAATAGAGGTATATCTCCTTTAGGTTTGGTTATTTTTGCCTACTTTTAAAAATAATCTTTTTTTCATTTGCCACTTTTATGTACCCTTTATGTCTCTTATAAACCAAATAAGTACAAGAGGTTAGTATTGTTATTTTATTCAAAATGATGCTACCAATTTACTTGTCTAAAGGTATTTATTTAGACATTTCCATTTATTTTGGTTCCTGATATATTTATATTTATTTATTGTACTATGCTTTTTGGTTTCTTTTCTTTCTTTTCAACCTTATATTATATGCATAACTTTAGAATTTATTCTTCCCCTTTCCATCTGCTAGTTTTTAGGTTATATTTTTCATACTTCATTTTTGGAGCAGTTTATAACAAAGTATAGAGCTATTTTTTCTGTCTGTCATTTAATAGATATATTAATTATTTTAAAATTATGAAGTTAAAAAAATGTCTATTCTCCTCCAAAATACTGCAAGGCTTTGAAATACTTTTATATTTTTCATACTTCATTTTTGGAGCAGTTTATAACAAAGTATAGAGCTATTTTTTCTGTCTGTCATTTAATAGATATATTAATTATTTTAAAATTATGAAGCTAAAAAAAATGTCTATTCTCCTCCAAAATACTGCAAGGCTTTGAAATACTTTAATTCTGATTCCTTTCTCACATTTCATTTATAACTGCTGTGCAGTATTTTAGTTCTATCTTTATTTTTATATCATACCAGTTATTGTCTCTTCCTTTTCCTCATAGTTCTCTTTCTCCTTGCTCCTATCTATAGATTTTTAAAATAATGTGTCAGATTATGCTAACTCTTGATTATGTTACTTGTTCCATTGAAGTGTCTGCCTAGCTTTGGTTGCATGAGTGGTAAATGCATTTGAGCTTAAAGCTTAAACTGGCCTCAGAGATTGGAGAGATCTAAGAAGATTACCTACCTGACCAGCAGTGTCCAAGATGTCCAAATAAGCTGGCTCATTGTCAATCCTAACCTGGGTCTTATAAGCATCTTCTGAAAACAAAACAAAACACAAGACTAAGTTTGTATTGAAATATAGTTAACAGAAAAGACATATTTAGTTTTTAGACTTAAGAAGAAAAAAAAACTTTCTAAATAGGTTACTAATCTCCTGACGAACACTTGAGCTGGTTCCAAATCTTGGCTATTGTAAATAATGCAATAATGAACATAGGGGTGTGTATATTCTTTTGAATTAATGTTTCAGGTTTCTTCAGATAAATTACCAGAAGTAGAATTGTGGGTCATAAGACAGTTCCATTTTTAATTTTTTGAGAAAACTCCATACTGCTTTAAAAGCTCTGATAAAAGCTGTGATTTACAGAATGGTATACTATTCGGCCATGAAAAAGGAAACCTTACCCTTTGTGACAGCATGGATGGACCTGGAGAGCATTATGCTAAGTGAAATAAACCAGTCAGAGAAAGACAAGTGCCATACATTTCACTCATATGTGGAATTTAATGAACAAAATGAACTAACAAGCAAAATAAAGACAGATTTATAAATAGTAAGCAGGCTGATGGCTGTAGAGGGTAGTTGGGAGGGGTGGTGCAAGGACTGAGCCAAAAAGAAAAAAAGATAAAAAATTCATGGACATGAACAACAGTGTGGTGAGTGCTGAGGAGGAGGGAGTGGAGGGAGGTGGAGGAGAGTATAAGGGGGATACATGGTGATTGACTTGGGATGGTGAACATACAATGCAGTGTACAGATGATGTGTTGTAAAATTGTGCATACATACACAATTTTTAACCAGTGTCACTCCAATAAATTCAATTTAAAAAGAAAAAAAATGGATTACTAAGTAAAAGATTCAGATATTCCAGTCAAGTAGAGTACATAGAGTGAGAGGGATACATCCCATAAAATATAAGAAAGGGGCATGGGCACTTGAGCTGGTTCCAAATCTTGGCTATTGTAAATAATACAACAATGAACATAGGGGTATGTATATTCTTTTGAATTAATGTTTCAGATTTCTTCAGATAAATTACCAGAAGAGGAATTGTGGATCATAAGACAGTTCCATTTTTAATTTTTTGAGGAAACTCCATACTGCTTTAAAATTCTGATAAAAGCTGTGATTTACAGAATGGAATACTATTCAGCCATGAAAAAGGAAACCTTACCCTTTGTGACAGCATGGATGGACCTGGCGAGCATTATGCTAAGTGAAATAAACCAGTCAGAGAAAGACAAGAAAGGGGATTTCTGCTTAAAGTAAAATAAAGTATATTTCTCCTTTGTCAGGAAAATCTCATGATCGGAGGTAACCTGGTGATGTTCCCTAGAGAACCAGTTAATGGAATAAATGCATGCACCACAAGTCTGTATGCTGACATTAAGCCCAGTGTGAAAGTCTACAAGCTTTTCCCAAAGATCAGGAACAAAACTGCTTTAACCATTGTTATTTAACATAGTACTAGAAGTTTTAGCTAGACCATTATGGCAAGAAAAATAAATTAAATGCATCCATTTTCTGTTAGCAGATAACATGATCTTACATGTAGAAATCTCATGGTTTCTAAAGAATTCAGGGGCTGGTAATAGGGGTGAGTGGGAAGTTATTGTTTAAGGAGTACAAGATTTCTGTTTGGCAAGATGAAAAATTCTGGAAATGGATAATGGTGATGATTGCAGAGTATTGTGAATGTGCTTAATGCCCCAATTTTTAAAATTATAAGATTTCTCTCTCTCTCTCTCTCTTTCTCTCTCTCTCTCTCTCTCTCTCTACAAACCAAGTATCTATCAACAGATGAATAGATAGGCAAACTGGTATACACACACACACACACACACACACACACACACACACACACAAAATAGAACTTCTAAAAAAATTTAGCAAAGTTTCAGGCTACAAAGTCAACACACAAAAATCAATTGTATATCTAAACAATAGGAATGAACATAAAATAAAATCAAGAAAATGATTCCATTTACAATGACTGAGGTGAGGACTTGTACATGAAAGCTACAAAAAATCAATGTATTTGCTTCTGTACTTTGCCATACCTGTGTATCATTTCAATGAAAACAGTGAATATCTGGGTCTGAAGCTCTGGGGTGAGAGCTGAGAATCTTACTTTATTAATCCATTTATTTCCTCATCCATGCCAATCCCATCCTATATATTCCAGCCTGTTCAAATATCTACAGTGAGTATATCATCATTTGTGAAACATGGTTGAAACTTCTCAGTCTTGAACTCACAAACTCATAGAGTCAGCCTACAATTTCTGTATTATTTTATTCACCAATTATAGTATAAGTAAATAGCAAACTGAATCACCACAGAAATATTTAGAACAGCATTGAATTTTGACACAATTCAATAATTATTTATACTATTGATTTTGAAATGCAAATACATAAATTATTATTTTCACAACCTTTTGATTTAGCAAGTAGTGAGACACAAATAAATACACACACACACACACACACAGTATCATGGTCTCCACTCTCAAGGAACTTAGCCTATCTAATAAAGAGGGGGTATGATAATTGACCCTCACACTGTCACAAAGATGGTGGGGCCCACAGCCAGTAAGTAGGGAATATGCTAATTGACTGCTCTGCCCTCAAAGATGGCAGTGCCCACGGCCAATAAGGAGGGAATATGCTAATTAACTGCCTCACTCTCCAAGATGGCAGTGCCCACAACCACAAGATGGCCAGCAAGGGAGGGCAGTTGTGGACGATCAGGCCAGCAGGGGAGGGCAGTAAGGGGTGACCAGGCCAGCAGGGATTAGGGGTGACTGGGCCAACAGGGGAGGGCAGTTGGGGGTGATTGGGCCAGCAGGGGAGCAGTTAGGGGCCGATCAAGCTGGCAGGGGAGTGGTTAGGGCAGCCGTGGACAAACTACGGCCCCGGGGCCGGAACTCTGGCTGGCAGGCAGAAGCAGTTAGGGGCCATCAGGCAGGCAGGCAGGCAAGCGGTTGGGAGCCAGCAGACCTGGATTGTGAGAGGGATGTCCGATTGCTGGTTTAGGTCCGATCCCTGGGATCGGGCCTAAACCAGCAGTCGGACATCCCCTGAGGAGTCCCAGATTGTAGAGGGTGCAGGCTGGGCTGAGGGACACCCCGCACCCCAGTGCACGAATTTTGTGCACTAGGCCTCTAGTAGAATCATAATGGAAGATACACATATATGCAGTGGGATGTGAAGATCTAAAAATGTACAGGACATATAGCTTACCTTCAAGGACATTTATTCCTTACAATTGTGCTCTAAGAAGCTGAAATTGTGGGAAATACAACTTGCAAGGAGGTAAATCTAGTGTGTTTTTAGTCACTCTCAGCCATCCTAAAACCATTCAGTGTACAGGCAACCGCACAGTCTATTTTTTATTACACTGCCCTTTATATTCTCACTGATCTTCCTCTTACAAAAGAGAAATCTTGTGGAATTGCTTGCAATATTTTTTGGAGATGCATAGGGTTGTTTTTCAATTTCATAGGGAAATATGAGTAGTTACTTTGGAAAGGGCTCTGTGACCCGAGGATCGCATGTAAGTCTTTCAGATTTCAGATTTGCTCATTTCAACTCAAAGGCCCCCAAAAAGAGCCTGCTGAGGCCAGGATCATGCTGAGTAATCCATATGAGAACTTCACTGTGTGATTATCTGAGACCTAGATAAACCCAGCACATGAAAACATGTCAAATAAAAGCTTCTCCTGGGATTAGAAAAACCCTTCAAAGAGACTCGATGTGAATTGGCTAGAAATTAAGCCAGGCCCTATATCCAAGATTTCTTTCTCTCTTTTAAAATGTATCCATCAGAGTACACATCCTGGTGTTGTGAATCTAGGTCACCTGCCTGGCCTCCACAGAAACTAATCCCTTTCATTTCCTCCCAATAAACAATCTTCCTTTCTGTTTCCATCCATCCACTCCCTTTGTGACCTCCCATGCAGAAATGCAGTGACAGAAATACTCCTCTTGAATGCATATAAACACCTCCCTGAAATTCAATCATCTGCTTATAGACACAACCCTGAAGTGAGCTCATTTATCTTCCCAAGCAAGAGGCCAACTGTACACAAAGCTTTATCAGGCAGAAATGGCAGCAACTGCCTACTATATTGTTTGCACAGAAAAGCCCAATGGGCCCACTTTCTTGGAGGCATCTAGCACTGCAAAATTCATTTTTACAAGAATGTTTGATTTGAGACTATTCCTTCGCTTGGCGTATGTCTTCACTCTCCCTCTCCGGCAGTATTTTACCAGAAGTAATAATCAAAGACCTGTATTCAAGCCTCAAAATCATCTCTAAATATTGAAATTATGATTGGCCAGACACTTGATCTTTTTTGCAAGATGGAGATAAGAGTACATGCTAGTCAATGCATGGGAGCTTTAGAAGGATCAACAAAAGTTGCACATTTCATGGTGCTTAAAATTAAAAAAAAAACCCCACACAATTCAAACTCTAGGCATGTTATGTTGTAATTTAAAAAATGTATATTGCTTCAAATTAACCATGAAATTATATTGAATCTAAATTACTTCTGCTATTTATATTTACCCATGTGGGAATGCTTTCTTCCCAAGTAAATCATAGAGGATTTGGCAGGATGTTTTCAATAATTATAAAAAATATGGAATTTTAATTTAATTAAAAAAACTTAAGGTGTTCTGGAAAATTTATTTAAATAATTTATTTAACTCCTTTGTAGAACAAGCATATGCATTTAAAAAACTTTAAAATAATTTAGTTGTAAATATGAAATTAGGATAACTTAAAACCACAACATGTATCTGAGAGAAAATATTAGATAATCATTGAACTTTCACTGGATGATGTTTTAAAAATCATAAAGATAATTTAATACTTCTTGGATGCCTTACCAGAATATCTAAAATGTGTGACAATTAATATTACAGTGAAGATATATATATATATATATGCTAATATATATCTCTAAGATATTAGTCATTTACTTTTTTAAAGGACAATAAAATATAAAGGCTTGAATAATATATAA